ATCCGAAGCCCTAAACCCTAACACCCTAAGCCCTAAACCCAAATCTCTAAACCCTAACAACACCCTCAACACCCTAAACCCCTAAACCCGAAACACAAAATTCCGTAGCAATGAGCTGTTGGGCCCTCTGAAATGCTAAAGGTCCTCGCGCTCTCCGAACGGACACTGGCAGCCCTCCGGGCCCGAGGAGGCGGTTTCTATAGGGCTTCCTTTAAAGGGATCTGTAAGGCTTCTAAGGGTTTAGGGTTATAGTGTGCTTCCTTTAAAGGGATTTTTAAGATTTCCACGGGTTTGGGGTTTAGGGTTATATAGGGGTTTCTTTAAAGGTTATCTTTACAAGGTTCCTTTACAGGGATCTATTTATTGTTTTTAGTGTTTAGGTTTTATCTGAAACCTACACCTTTTTAGACTCTTTTAGTTTAGGGTTTCTTATTTTGATTGCCTTATCCATGATAAGAACAAGATAGTTTTGCAGAGTCTAGGTAGGGTTTAAGGTTTGGGGGGTCTGTGAAGCTTTGAGAGCTTTTGGAATCATTGCTGTCTTGCTAGTTTATAAGTGTGTGAAGGGTAGTTCGGATTTTTATAATGCTGTATCAATAGAGCCAAGCTTTTCTGAAGGAGTCTATCAGTGTAAGGGTTCGACACGGGCGTCTTCAGGGTTCCATTGGGGCTTTAGGGTCAAGAGTTCGACGGGTCCTATAGGGTTTACTCGCAGTTTCACGGGACTTAGTAAGTGGGGGTTTTACGCACCTTCATTGGGGTTGTAAGTAATTGGAAGTGTGGTTACCTTGATCACCCTACTTGGAGGGGGGACTGAGTAAGTAGGATATAAGCAGAGTTATAAGTACCCTAAATGGAGTTGCCCCAACTATAACCCTACTTATAAACGACTTACTAAGTCCCCTGCCCCTTCAAGTAGACCCTAAACCCTAAACCCCATAGATCCCTTGAAGGAACCCTATAGAGATCCCTTTAAGGAGCCCTTTGAGATCCCTTACTAAGTCCCCTGCCCCTTCAAGTAAGTATCGTAATGACAGGCCCCAGGATCCTCCAGCAAGGCCTACATACAGTAAACTCCATAAAGTTGGAAACCGGATTAAGGCCAAATAGTCCTGGGATTCCCTATACACTACTCTTAAGGATTGAGGCTATTGGGTTTCCAACTTTTTGGCTTCTACTGTAAGGTTTATTGGTTTTTGGTTCGTGGCTGTTCCCTAAGGGCCCATGTACCCAAAGAGTACCTATATACGTTGGGCCCAATGTACCTATATAGGCACTACATTAAGGCCAATGTATAAACTATTTGGGTACATGGACCAGAATATGACGAAACCATAATTGTTGGAGAATATGTCGAAACCATAACTGATCCCAAATCCCTAATCATTAACCACCCACCCCCCCCTCCCCGTATCACGTTTTCCGTCGCGAACCAGGGGATCAGCGAGGACCGCAAGAGGCAGGTGGACGACGGCAGTTTCGGGCTTTGGGCTGTGCAGCAGCATCTTTACATAGGTTTATACCTGTAGCCGGCAAGACCTGCCTTTTTCAGGGTTCCTTATTATGGTTTCTAAATACAGTTCCTTAAGAAGGTAGGTCTTTTCGGTACAGGTAGTGTTTAGGGTGCTGGTTCGAGTTCGACAGCTATTCACAGAACCCTGGACCCTAAGCCACCTTAAACCATGGCGACGGCGATATTGATGGCAGGGGTCTACAATGCCGTGTCCGATTCAACATTCAGGTGGTGCCATTCACTCCATGACTCATGGATGTCTGAAGCCGTTCAAAAAGATTTCCATAGAAGCCGGACGCGCCACACCCCCGACTCCCAACTCCCTGAACCCTAAACCTTGAGCCCCAGGTGTCCTTGTTGCCTGGTTGATGGAACCCTCGAGCAATGCAACAAAAAGTCCTTGACTCCCTACACCCAAATTCTTAAATCATCAATCAAATGCCAGGTGGAACAAGGACCCCAGCAATAGAATAGAATCCAACTACCAGCGGAACAGCTAGCAAGCATAATGCCACATACAGTACAGAAAGCAGGACATCTCCAAGCCTTGACCCCTAACCCTAGCTCCAAACCCAAAGTGCTGTTCTAGCCCTAAGGGTCCAAGTACCAATATAGTAGGTATTTTATAGAGTTTGGGCCTCGGAAGTATATACTTAGTAGCTGAGTGGATACACTTTACTCTTTGGGGGAGAATATTACCCACTGTAAAACTGAAAGTGTACAAAGCTTGGGGCTTATGAACTCAGCAACTAAGATATACTGTACTACTGCTGATGGACAAAATCCTGCATGACCCTAAGGACTCTAAACTATGGGAACTATGGTATATCCCTTATCACGGGTCATGCAGGATTTTGTCCATCAGCAGTATTACTTCGACCCTTTGGGTAGGTGCTCCTCTCTCGCCTCTTGACCTGCTCCTTCTGCGCCTTCGCAGCTGGCCGGGGCGCTGAGTCCCTGCATGTGTGGCGTCCTTGCATTGTGGGAGCAGTACAGGGCTGTAGGGGTTCTTTTTATAGAGGTGATATTTCAGCCAGGCCCTAAGAAAGTATGTGGATTTGTCTAGGTTTGCTTGTGGGGTTGTTCTAGGGTTGTTTAGGGTCGTTAAAGGGCTTATACCGCAAATGACGGCAAATGTGTTTGTTAGTGGGTGTTGTGTCGTGCATTTACCGCTTAGGGTTTGGGATTAGTGCATTTGCCGGTTTGGGTTTGGGGTTAGATTAGAGTCTGGTGATTAAGGTTTAGGGAAAAGTATTGCTGTCGGGTTGAAGGGGTTTAGGGTTTGTGGATTGGGGTCCAGCATTTAAGGATCAGAGTTCGAGGGTTCAGGAATTTAAGTTACGTCTTTGGGGGGGGATTCATCGATTCGAAGAGGGTTCTTCAAGACTCTGTCCTCGTCTGGATTGGAATTGGGTCATGACGGTTTTGAGAGCGTTCAATACTTGATTGCGGGCATGGACTGCCGACTGCGGGGTTTCAGGGCTTGGGGTTTCAGAGTCTTGCCAGAATACCATATTGCAGCATGCAAGGAGGCACCGTATCCAAAGACGAGCCCACGACATCAAGCTACCAAGCCCTGAAACGATTCGCTGGCATGACGGAAGACGTTCCGAGGACGGATCTAGTCTGTCCCACTCTATCAAGCGTAAACGTTGGATCCTGAGCTCAAAACCCCACAGCAGGCTTTCGGTCACTACGGTATATAAAATACTATAGGGGCTTAAATAAATACCAACACTATATTGTGGGGGCTCCTTATCATAATTATCGTATTATGGGCCTCGAAACCCCTACACTACCAGAGCCTTCTCAACTACCATGCTGACTAGGGCGTTGGGTGCAGAAGCTCGTTCTGGGCGTTGAGTGCCAGCAGTCACTACGGGCGATGTAATTAGTGTTTTTGAGCCAGATCAAGAAGACAATTCAGGTAGGAGGTATAATCCTAAACATGAGGAGTGTTCTGCCCTAAACCCTACGTGGAGGTTCAGGGTTAGTTACAAGTAGAGTTCTAAGTTCCCTAGTATGGGTTATAATTATAGGTACCTTACTTATAACCCCGCTTATAACTACCCTAGAACCTCCAAGTAAACCCTAGACCCCATACCCTTATAGAATCCCTATATATCCCTTTAAAGGGGCCCTTAAAGGAACCCTTATAACTACCCCTGAACCTCCAAGTAAACCCTAGACATGAAGAGTGTTCTGGTTCTCTGGGTTTTAGCATCCGCGGCACCCTGGAGCAAAACCCTCAGCCCGAGACGATGCCTGAGATGCCAACCCGAGCTCCCGAGACAACGCAACCCCAACACCCGAAATTAACCGTGCTCTAAATTCGTTTGTGCAGCTTGAATACTTCATTTGCTTATGTATATATTATCTGTGTATAAATGTAAAAATAAATAAACAAATATATATATATATATATATATATATGTATGTATATATATATATATATATATATATAATGCACATATACTGAGCTCCCTGGTATAATCATGATGTAGTTTACTTCCCTACAGTGGCTCCTTCATTTACCCTTCTGCAGCCTGTGGCTCAAAGCTGCAAGTCGCATTCTACGTGCCGGAGAACGCTGTTTAGCTGCCTCCCGGCTTGGGGATTTGTGACCTTTCACAACGGGTCCAAGTAATAGTGTAGTGTTTATTTTGAACGCCCAAATGTCTACAAAGTGCCCACTATAGTGGTACTTGGACCCTTTGGGGTGTGTTGCTATCCAAGCAAGATTGCAAAATGTTGGGTCGAGTAGCGTTTAGTGTGTCGGCGAGCTAGTTTAGGGTTTCCATACACCCTAAACCTTGGGTACTGCCCCCACTCAGTAACAGTTGGATAATATTCATAATATAGATATATAAGGCCCTTAATAGTAGCCCTATTATAGACTGTTACTGTATGGGGGCCGTACCCAACCTAAACCGTGCTAGATTTTCGGCCCATTGGGTTTGGGTTTTGGCTTGCCAGCGCTCAGAGTTTAGGGTTTTGGGCCTTTGAACCCGGATGAGCCGTGAACGTGTCAAACAACACAACCCCTGGAGTCCCGGGCACTTTGTGAACATGGAACTTAGCCCGTGAGCCAAAGGGTTTAGGGGTTTGGGGTTTAGGGTTTAACTTCCTGTTGCTATAGTCTCCTTAGGAATTACTTTTCATTTTTGTTCATATAAAACCCAAGAGAATACTAATCATAAGATGTTTATTATTATGGTTCCAAGGGGGGTATAGCTTAGCCCGTGAGCTCAAAGGCTTCCAGCCGGTCCAGCACTGCTTTTCGGGTTTGCAGTTTCTGGTTTGGGGTTGAGGAAATTGTGGCATTTCTCTTCCCAGTCTTCTTTCTTAGTACGGTTTCAAGTTGTTATCACCCCAAACCACAAAGAATGCATAAAGACCCAAAGCCCAATAAGCCCTTTAACCTCACAACGTAATCAGCGCTTGCATTATTTCGGTCAGCTTTTGCGCCCTGGCTAAGGCTTGGAACATGGCTGGCTACCCTGCGATTATTCCCAGGTGGAACTCTTTCGTGCATTGGGTTTTGGGTTTCAGGTTCCTGAAGGAACCGAGGTTATCAGCTCAGGTTTTGGCAAGTTGGCCATTCGGGGATGAGGGGCTGTGTTTTTTGAATCCTATTCCGGTAACCCTTAAGCCTGGGCTGGCAGCCCTTCAACTGCACGATACACCTGAATCCTGAAACCCGAGATTGAAGGTTTCCTCCCTGAACCCTAAACCCTAAACCCTAGCTATCCATAAACTCCAAAGCCCGAAGCTCTAGACCTAAGCCCTACGGAGCCTGAGGCGAGATTCGTAGATCCAACATGTCTAAACCCGTTTGGGGCTCAGAGTTTAGCCTTAGTAACTGAGTGGATACACTTTACACTTTTTGGGATAATACTACCCACTATAAAACTGAAAGTGTACACTGTTTGGAGGTTTATGAGCTCAACAACTAAGTAGCGCTTGGGGATTTTTAAAAAGCTGGGCCCCAATCCCTATTCTGACGTATCCTTGAGGCTGAAGCCCGGTTTTGATTCGGACCTATCTAGTACCCAAAGGGTCCAAAGTACCTGCATGGTAGAATGTAGGGTTTCTATATTAGGAATTGCTATTATGATTTGGGGAAGTATCCCCCATAACAGTACAAAGGACCCTTTGGGGTACACTTACATTGAGATTGAGAACTGGGAAGGCGAAGGTGACCGTTGTAAAGAGGCTGGGGTACTTCTCAGTTGAAAATGAGAACCACCATCCATGTATCCAAATAGTATATACTTTAGGCCCAATGTACCTATATAGGGACTACATTAAGGCCAATGTATATCCGATATATATGGGTACATGGACCCTCTGGGATCATGCACCCTCCACAGCTGGTTTTGATGATGCAGTCGGAGCCGTCTGAATCACAGCCGGATGCTCCAAATCAGCTTGCGGCTTTGTAAGGGTGGTTGTCAAAATGAGGGTCCCTTTTTTGGGTTCCCCAGTATAGTACGGCACCTAATATTTAGGGAACCCAAAAAGGGACCTTAATTTTGACAACTACCCTTCAGGTGAAGCTGCCAAGTTTTTGTCGAAAGCCGAAGAAGCGGCCTGCTGAATCGGTGTGAGTCTCCGGCCGCATAGGTCCGGTGGCATAAACCCTAAACCCTAAACCCTAAACCCTAAACCCTAAACCCTAAACCCTAAACCCTAAACCCTAAACCCTAAACCCTAAACCCTAAACCCTAAACCCTAAACCCTAAAACCTAAACAGAAGACTACCCAGAGACTCCGAGTCTCCTTACATTTAAGGAATACAAGGGATCCATAAGGACTCATTAAGGGATCCAAAAGACTCCTTTAAGGGATCTATAAGGGCTCGGGTCCTTGTAATAAGGATCCTACTACTTAGGGTACTATGTTAGGGTCCCCTATTTTCGGAAACTCTCAGATTAGGGTGCCTAATGTAATTTAAGGCATGTTCCTTAATTGAGGGGTTTTGGAGTCTCTGGGTACAGCAGAGAAATGTTCGGCGAGCCCAGACTTTGCAAGAGACTCCAAGCACGTGCACCTGAGGACTTCGACAGGTGAACATGGGTACTCCTTTTGTAACTTCATGGCATATGGAACCTAAACCCCAAACCCTGAAATCATAAGATCCAAACCCTGAGAGCTTTATAAGCCCCACACCCTAAAACCGTTAGCGACGAAACTCCCCAAACCCTGAACCCTAAAACACCCATATGCCCCAAACCCTGAACCCTAAAACAAGAGTGACGCACACCATATACCCCAAACCCTGAGCCCTAAAACAAGAATGAATCAAACCATATACCTCAAACCACAACAAGAATGACTCAAAACCATATACCCCAAACCCTGAACCCTAAATCCCGTGAGACTGTCTGGAACTGTTGCAGGGGAGATGAGCCGATCACCTCAGCATCCGACAGTGTTAGCGTCAGCCAGTTCCCGACATTGACAAGGCGTGGCCAGGGAGGTTGATTGTTTCAGGGCTCTTAACCACAGAGAGTCCTAGGTATGGTTATGGGGGGTACTTCCCCAAATCACAATAGTAGTTCCTAGTATAAAAACCCTACATTCTGCTACATAGGTGCTTTTTAACCTTTGGGAATGTGTTCTATGAAGGTACTATACAAAGTCCATGATGGTTTTGAGTTGTGGGGGTTCGGGCTTTTGGAGTTTAGGGTTTCGGAGTTTGGGGTTGGGTTTAGCGGGGGGTTTGGGTTTAGGGCTTGGGTTTTGCGGATTGACGCAATTTGTGCAGTGTTCGTATCAGTCCATGCATGGTTGCCTGGAGGATCCTGTGACTTAGTAAGCAAGGTTATAAGTACCTTACTTGGTGTCATAAGTAGTTCATAAGTATAGTTACCCTAATTATAACCCTCCTTACTAAGTCCCATGATCCTTTAAGTGGGGATGTCAACACTTCTATTTAACATGCACCGGTACCGTGGTTTGACTGCAAGGCCTGACACGAGGTCATGCAGCTGGCGTTTACGTTCGTTTCCTACTTGCAGTTTCAGACTTGTTATAGTTCTTCAGAGTTTCTGCCACCTTGTCCCTTACTATAATCATATGTACGAGATGGATCCAGTCGTATGCAAACCATACAACCCCAACAACGAGCCGCGATGGATGATAAAAGTAGACCTAAACTAAACTCCTTGGACACTGACCCAATGCCCAATAGCTCCAGATACCCCTCTATATAATCTCATAACTAGTGCCAGGCGGGTTTCGTTCCAGACTCCCAGCCGTCCCTTCATGGGCTGAGGTATGTCATGGCCAAGACGCACGACAACGAGACTTGGCTAAAAGACTATGCTTGCTGTCAGGCACTGGATTATAAGTGGGTTGTTGGCGGGGTGCTGGCAGATATAGAGTCCCGAAGCCTTATAAGCCTTGCGCTCTACAACCCCGGCAACGCTAAAACCCCAAAACCCTCCGCAACAAAAACACACAGACACATAATTTCTCATTGACCCTACTAAATCCTGTCTTTAATATTTACATGGCTGTTTGACCAAAGCACTTTCTGGAGGAACTCGCGATCTTGCTCATGGCCCTGCAGTTGGCCTGCAAAGCCACCTCGCGAGCCTGCAACAAGGCGGTACCTAAACCTCCCAAAATAGGTAAGATAATGGCCCAATACCTACACAAAGCGATTATTCTACATACTTTTGGGGTCCAGGGACCTTAAACCCTCAACCCTAAACTGGTAGAGCTTACTTTAAGGGATCTAGGGTTCCTTAAAAGGGATCTATAAGGGTTTCTATAAGGGTGCTACAAGGTTATTAAGGGATCTAGGGCCTAGATCCCTTAATACCCTTGTAGCACCCGTATAGAAAGAATCTAGGGTTTGTTTGGAGGGGTTTAGATGTGTTAGGGTTTAGGGTTCAGGGTTTTGACAGAGGGTGAGGGTTCCGATTCGGGTTTAGAGTTTTGGGGTCTCAGGGTTGTCGGTGTTTGGTGATCCGGATCACCTTACTAAGAGTTTTAGCATTGAAGGATCAACGTACGTAGCCATGCAACCTGGTGGTTTCTGTGGTCCTGTTTTACTGTTCCTATAATTAAGGGTTTCTACAAGGGTACTATAAGGGTATTTCCCCAACTCAAGCATGTGGCTTGTTGGAGCAGGTCGAAGTTGCAGTGCGCAGGCCAGTCAGCTGAAGGATAGACACGGAGTGATAGAGGGAGATACACAACATCGACTGAAGTCGTATATAAGTATCTGCTAAACCTGTGCTCTTAACCCCTGAGGGTCGCAGGGCAGCATGTGTGAAGTTATTCAGCATCCTATAGAGTAGGCCTTCGGACGGCCAGTGTCCTAGTTGGAGCCTCTGAACCCTTAGCGTGTAGCAACCTAAACCCTATACCCTAAACTCGAAAAGCCCTAAAACCCGAAACCCTCAACCCTCAAAAACCGGTAAGCTCTACTTAAAGGATCATGGGACTTAGTAACTAGGGTTATAATTAGGGTAGCTATACTTATAGCTAACCCCCAACTAGGTACTTATAACCTTACTTACTAAGTCCCCTGATCTTCCGAGTAGACCCTAAACCCTTATAGATCCTATCATATGAACCCTTATAGATCCCTTTTAAAGGAACCCTAAACCCTAAACCCTCTCCTTACTTACCGAGTAAGTCAGGCAGGTATCGCCATGCTTTTCGGCCTTGCGGGCGAGGTAAACTCGACAGGCTCGATCTCAGCTGGAGGGTGCAGGTAGGATTTCGGACTTGGAGTTTAGGACTTAGGGTTTAGGGATATGGGTATGATATGGGCCGTACCGACTAAGATAGGACATGAAATCAAGATAGGATTTCGGGTGGGGGTTTTGGGGATATGGGCCGTCACAACTAATAACCAAGATAGAATTGATTAAAGACTCCCTTGCACAAAAGGGTCTATGGTGATTCTCGAGGTTTTCACGGGTGTAGGGGCCGCAAGAGATCGTAAGAGTTTCAATAAGGTGTGGGGGAACGTCATCGTATGATGAATCATGTAGTGACTCCAAAGGGGGTACTGTTGATGCTGTTTTAAACGCTTCGGGTGGTCCGCCTCGGCCCAGTCGCGCTTAAAGACTATATAGTTCAGAGTCTGGAGTTCGCAAGACGACGAATGTGGGCCTCTAGGTGGGTCCAGGGTCTCTCAAGAGTGCGTGAGCCCTCTCACAGGCACGAAGCTTTTTGCTTCATGCCGCAGAACCAGGCCACCAATTCCTGCACTCAAAAACCTGCACCGCGTCATCAAGCGCATGCTCACACGACGAAGAGCCACAGAGCACCATGCGCTTTCAGATTAGCATAACCTTACCTAGACCCCCCAAAGTAGGTAAAATAACGGCCCGAAACCTGCAAAAGGCTATTATTCTACATACTTTTAGGGTCCAGGTAGGCTATAAATAGTAAAGAAACGATCCCCCCCCCCCATTTTTCAAGGCTACGGTATATGCCGCACTTGAGGTTCCTGGGGCTCGCGAAGCACCAAACCCCCATGGCCGTGAGACCCCAAGCCCAAGCCACATTCAGAGCCCAATGAGCTCCCTCCGAACCCCTAAACCCCACCTGGATCCCGAAAGTATGTAGAACAATAGCCTCTTATAGGTTTTGGGCAAGTATTTTACCTACTTTTGGGGGTTCAGTATAAGTTCAACGCCCGAGATTTTGTTACAGGAGTATTCCTTCAGCAAGGGGAAGGGGGGTCTTAGTTTGGGACCTTGCCCCTAAACCCTTCCAACCCTACACTGCTCCTTAACCACAGCCCAGTCCAGGATATCCGGCCAATGGCCCGTTAATGGAGCCCCTGTGGTCCTTGATAGTGGCTATTGAGGGTAATTAGAGGGCTCAACCCTAAACCCTCAACCTTCAAACCCCAAACTCGGCCCCTAAACTTTGTAAACCACAGCCCCATACTTGGAGGTTCAGGGGTAGTTATAAGTTATACGTCCCCTAATATGGGTTATAACCATGGTTACATTACTTATAGCCCCACTTAATACTGCCCCAAACCCAATCCCCAAGTCCTAAACCCTAAACCCTACAAACCCTAAGCCCTACAAACCCTAAAGCCCCTCAGCCCCCCATAGAGGCGATGACCAGAAGAAGTTGGATGTCCAGAGCTAAGCTCTGGGCTTGCTTTTGAAGATTTTTTAAAGTTTTGGGAGTTGCTTCTTCGGGTTTTAGGGGGGTTCCATTTAAAGGGGATCCATAAGGCAGCTATAGGGTTTAGGGCTCAGGGCTAGCTTTGGGGATTTTTTCAGGTTCCTGGAGTTGCTTCTTTAGGTGGTTCCTTTGAAGGGATTCATAAGGGTTCTATAGGGTTTAGGGTTTGGGGATTAGAGGTTCGAGGTTGAAGGTTTGTTTAGGGCTTAGGGTTACACAAGTCACGACAACTAGAGCAGAAGTTGCAGAGACAAGGAGTCCAGAACTACTATTTAACCCCTAAATCCTACATACACCCTACATCGTTTGGGTTTAGGGCTTCGGGGATCGGGCGGTCTTTCGGGTGCTGGTTCCACAGAAGTAGTCCAGATGGACCCTGTGAGGCATTGAACAAACCTTTGGATCCGAAGGAGCCACCTTGAGCTACAGCCTGCGCTTTGCCTGAAATGTCTCTCCACCGATTCCCTCCCAAAAACTAAGCTACAGTATATAGTAGTGGTAGACCGAATTGCTCACATGCCATTGTATTTCCAGCACCAGGAGTGGCTTATCATCCATCTCACGATAAGGTTGTTCGTGGCTTCGTGATTCAAGTGGTGTAGCGTTCTGGGCTAAGGGTCTACTGACCTAGAAAGGTGTAGCATCATTCAATCAGAGGACGTTTAGGGTTGTAGGGTCCGACGTCAATTTAGGAATCAGGGCCTAGGGTTTGGCCCTTTCCAAGCACTGACTAAACACCATATCTCAACCCCAATCCCGAAACCCTACACACCGAAACCCTACCTCGCAACCCCGTCCTTAGGGTTTGGGCCACTTACTCCCGAGGTGCTGTCCAACGAGATTTTCATCGATGCGCTGACGAATTGCGGCGCGTGTTCTATCCTCGTCTCCGAAGAGAATGAGGCGCATGGTGAGAAGTGATCTTGCTTTTTCCAGAAATACGAGATACTTTGTTTAGGGTCCCGCGTTGCTATTCTGGCTCCTTCTTTCTGAACCTCCCGGTCCCACGCACGTCGCACATGCCAGAACAAGCATCAAGAAACCAAACAACGCTATATCCTCAGCCCTGGAAGTCTAAACTCCAAGAGAACCCACCGCAGCCCCCGATCTTGCAGCAGTTCAAACTCCGGTCGGTGCTGCGCCCCAACTTGCTACCGCTATGGCTATCGGTATCGCCACCGCTACTGCGGCTGCCACTGCTGCTGCGGTTGCAGCTACTCCTGCTACTGCTACTACTACTCCTCCTGCTACTACTACTACTACTACTACTACTACACTACTACTACACCACTACTACTACTACTACTACTACTACTACTACTACTACTACTACTACTACTACTACTACTACTACTACTACTACTACTACTACTACTACTACTACTACTACTACTACTACTACTACTACTACTACTACTACTACTACTACTACTACTACTACTACTACTACTACTACTACTACTACTACTACTACTACTACTACTACTACTACTACTACTACTACTACTACTACTACTACTACTACTACTACTACTACTACTACTACTACTACCTACTACTACCTACTACTACCTACTACCCTACTACTACTACCTACTACCTACTACCTACTACTACTCTACTACCTACTACCTACTACTACTACTACTACTACTACTACTACTACTACTACTACTACTACTACTACTACTTCTCTACCTCTACTGCTACTACTACTACTACTACTACTACTGCTACTGCTACTGCTACTACTACTACTACTACTACTACTACTACTACTACTACTACTACTACTACTACTACTACTAATTACTACTACTACTACTACTACTACTACTACTACTACTACTACTACTACTACTACTACTACTACTACTACTACTACTGACTACTACTAATGCCACTGCTACCAAAACTTCGCATGTTTTGGATAACGACAAAGACTAGTACTGAGAGCAAAAATGCTGACACTTTCCTTGTTCTCAAAGTTTTGGTGGTGCTTCTGCCCTTTTTTGACAACTCAAGTCGTGTTGTAGCGGTAGCATCATTGCCGTTGTTTGGTTGTTGAGTCTTCGACTTCATGTTGCCGCCAACGTCTCCCGAAGACAAAGCCCTCAACAGCAGGCCAAACCCCGAAAATAGGAGACCCTAATATAGCACCCTAAGTAGTAGGATCCTTATTATATTATAAGGACCCCCAGACAAGGTGCCCCTAATTTTCGGAAAGTCCCATGTTGAGATGCCCGGAAACAGGGCATGCGACAAAAGCAGCCTTCCTTAACCCATAGAAGGGTCCAAAGGACCCAATGATTGGGTACTCGGCTTTAGGATAGTAGTTATAGGTTAGTATTTTTGAGAGTATATGATTGTTAGGTACTTGGACCCTTGGGGGTAGCCCATAGAAGGCTAGGATACAGGATACGATATAGGGGCCTCATTAGTTCGAATAGGGTCTTGGGGCCCAGTATACCATAATTACAATAAATAGCCCAAAATGGTATAGAGGTAAAAAAATCAAGGCCCCTACATGGGAGTTTCCGAAAATTTAGGATCCTTCTATTTAGGGTACTATACTAGGGTCCCCTATTTTCGGAAACTCCCACATTAATCGTTCGGACACCATGAACGCAAGTCTTGCCAGGAGCCGATCTTCGTTCCCCAGGCCTTTGGTTTCCGATCATCCGCAAGTTGCTGACCGAGAGCTTAGGGTTTAGGGTTTAGGGCTTCAGGGTTTAGGGGTTTAGGGTTAAGGGTTTAGGGTTTAGAGCTTGCATCACTCCTGTCCAATGAGTAAATTGATTGAATAAAAGTACTAGTATCGGAAACCAAACAGCAATATTCATTTTACATAAATATAAAGGAGCTAATACTTCCAACCATCCCTTAGCCCTTAAATTCCAGCCGATATTCGCAAACCCGAAACCCCAAATCGCAAATGCCACATTTTGAGGACAAGGCGGGGCGATTCGTGGTGGCATTCGACCCGCTGGACGGCAGCAGCAACATCGACTGCAACGTGAGTACAGGACGTCCAAGAGAACATGGACACTGTGAGCCTGATTGCTACTTGAGATTTGCTTTTCGGGGTGCTTGATCGAGTTAACATCCAGTATACAGCAGGCAGGCTGCGCTTCGTTTCAGTCCATCTTGATTCTAGCTAGTCACGGCCGAAACCAAAAACGTGGATGGAGCTGCGGGAGTTTCAGAAAAAAAGTCACTGCACCCTGGTTTTCGGTAACTCGCCTTGGGAGTTGCATCATACTGCAGCCCAAAGGGTCCAAGTACCACTATGGTAGGTACTTTGCAGATATTTGGGCCCAAAAATATGTACTATACTATTCCTTGGACCCTGTGGCAGTCGGAACGGGGAATACTAACCTACAGAGACCCGAGTACCTATTTATTGGGTCCTTTTTTGTGAGAGGACTACCGAGGGCTTGTATAGTATAGGTGGAACAGAGTTGTCGGATACACTACCCTGAGGCTCGCAATGGGCTATAGCCAAAACCAGCCCGAAACCCTAAGCACTAGAGCTCTCAGAGAAGCCTCGTACAGTCTCTCGGAGAATCTACGAATGCTTCCGACCCCTGTAGACCTAAAGCCTGTCTCCGGAGCCTAGCAGCCCCTGCCCCGATACCCGAAAGCCCAGAAGCCTTGCCCGCGATGGAGGAATAGCTTGAACAACCAAAACTTAAAACGACCCCGCCCGTCCCAACAGTGAACCTCAAGTTCCCCTAGGAAACTCGGCAGGGAAGTTTTCAAACCCAGACCCTCGATCCCCCAAAACCCTAAACCCTAAACCCAAAACCCTAAACCCTAAACCCAAAACCCTAAACCCTAAACCCTAAACCCTAAGACCACGGCAGGAACCATCTTCGCCGTTTACGAGAAGACCTCGGACAAGCCTGCAACAGCCCGGGCACCTGGTACAGGCTTAAAGGGTGGTGGCTTTCGGTTTAGGGGTTTAGGGTTCAGGGTTTAGGGGTTTAGGGGTTTAGGGTTTAGGGGTTTAGGGTTTAGGGTTTAGGGTTTAGGGTTTATAGGATTTATAGGGCTTATAGGGCTTATAGTGCTTATAGGGGTTTAGGGTACAGGCTTTAGGGTTCAGGGTTTAGGGGTTGAGGGGTTCAGGGTTTAGGAGCCCTGCTTGGAGGTTCATGGGTAGTAGGGGTTCCTCGAAAGGTTTCTCTAAGGGTTCCTTTAAGGATTCCTTTCGGGATTTAGGACTTAGGGTTTCTACTTGGGGGTTCATGGATAGTCAAAAGGTTCTAACTGGGGGTTCCTTCAAGGTTTAGAGTAGCTATAACGTTGTAATAGGGGGGCTCCTTTAAGGAATCTATAGTGCCTTAATAACTAGAATAGGGCTTGGGGGGGCCATTCTACTATAGTCATAATGGAACCCCAAAGGAGTATAGGTAATTATTAAGTCCCCTATAGTAGTTATAAGTGGAGCTATACTGTAGGTCCTCTAATATGGGTTGTATTTATAGTTACCTTACTTATAGCCCCGTTTATAGCTACCCCTGAACCTCCAAGTGGCACTCAAAGCCACGGAGATTTGAAATTTGGTTGTTCTTTTGAGGGGATTTAGGGTATAGGGGTTTAGGGTTTAGTGGGCTCTTTGCAAGATCTAAGTAGACTCCGGTGATAACTGGCAGCCCCTCATTGCCCATATACTGATCCCGCAAGCAAGAGCCCCCCGGCTCGCACCTCCGCCCGACTGACAACTAACACAGAACATGGTAAAAAGGTCCCTTTGAATCCTCCACTGACATGCTGTTACAACGAAGCTTTTATCCTGCTTTGTTGTGGTTTATAGGACGACGTCGGGACTTCATAGTCGTAAGGGGTCTTCTTGCAAAGGCAGCGGGTGACAAGCAGGTGGCTTAGGGCTTAGTTTCGGCCACAGGTGGCGGCTTTACTGTGACCCTAAACCCCCAAATCCAAGTCGATTCGGAATTGTCCTCGCCGATTGAAGGCTTTCTACCGAGTCCCCAAAAGCCCTGCAGAAGAACCTGCAAGGTCGACGACATTCTCCGAACTGGCAACGACATCATGGTCGCTGGTTATTGCATGCCCTCCGGCTTTGCAGCTTTGTGTTTAATGTTCTCGGTTCACAGTTCCGGATAAAAGACAGTTGGGGTTGTTTGTGGTGGTTTTTGAGGTTTGGGCCCGCGTCGCAAGCACGTTGAGCCATAGATATCAGAAAGCTGGCATGGGGCGTGGATCCAGATATTCCGTAATGCAAGCCTATGAGAGCATCGCAAAATTGCCTAAAGGACCAGGGGACGTACGAACTGGGGATTTCAGTGTTTATATAGGTACTTCTAGCCAAGGAACTTATATCCTTACATAACAAGTCCCGTGTTACGCCCCTGCAAAAAATTCAAAACGATATTTTTGTTTTCGATCGCGCCCCTTGATGCGTTCGACGCCTCCAGGCTGCAGGCTACCCCAAAAGGAACAGGCGCAGACTGCGAGCCCCAACCAAGAGGCAGACGGCTACTGTGACTTAAACTTACACCTTAAGTATTACGGTTGATGATATCAATCCTGCATTACCATAAGGACCCTAAACTATGGGAATTATGGTATATTCCTTATTTTGGGCCATGCAGGATTTATATCATCAGCCGTACCACTATCACTACGGGAACGACCTACGGCGACGACGACGACTACAACTACACCTTCTCCTGCTGCTGCTCCTCCTCCTCCTGCTCCTACTACTACTGCCACTACTACTACTACTACGGCGAAGACCATTACTAGCAGTAAACCCTAAACCCTAAACCCTAAACCCACCTTCTGCCCTTGCTGCTTCTGCTCAGGTACGGAGCAGCGACTGAGCTTGTCATCACTTTCAAAGGCCCCCGCCGGGAAATGCAGCGGGAAGTAAAGGGCTGAACTTTATGGTTTTGTTGTTCAGGGGTTGGTGATTTAGGGGTTTAGGGTTTGCGGGTTTAGAGGGCTTCGGGGTTTAGCCGTCCAGGGCTTAGGGATTTAATTAGGGTTTAGGGGTTATCATGATGCAGTTTCAGATTTGATAGAGCCTACTAGGATGCCCAGTAGTACCCTTATTCCTTTTTTGTAGTCCTAGGTTCCTTATAAAGTTACCCAATACCAAAAAGAGAGGCCTTTTTGTTCTTAGGTTACTGGGTATCCTAGAGCCTCTGTAAGCTTTCTGATTGTTTCGGGACTTGGGACCTCGCCTGTGGGCTGGTGCAGAGTGGTTATTGCCCAAGGGTCCTATGTACTGTTACAGGGAATAAAGGGAACTCCGGAGAGTATGGTTTCAGGGCAGGTTCCCCTATAATTTACCATAAATAAAGGGTTTAGGATAATCATATTCCAACTTTCTGGCTTTTACTTCCCGAAGTCAGAATATTAGTAGTACTGTTGATGATACAAATCCTGCATGACCTTAAGGACCCTAGACTATGGGAATTGTGGTATAGCCCTTATCATGGGTAATGCAGGACCGTACTTGCTAATATGGAAACCCTACATGCTACTATATCGGTACATAGGACACTTTGGGATTGCCATCATGAAGGATGTTGCCTTGCACAAGCCTAAACTAGGTAGGGGCTTGGGGCATTTCATATTTGCTCTCATTGGGCTTAAGAGGATCTTACCCTACTAGTAGTTTTCAATCGCTTTAAAAGCCCCTCCTGGCTAAAAAGTCACCATATGGGTAGAATCTCCCGTGCCCTCGATTCGCAAGAATGTCATCTGACGTGGCGCTAACCCTAAGGGTCCTTAAACAATGTCTGCAACGACTACTGCCGAAGTACAGACAAATTTGGGTACATGGGCCCACAGAGTAAGACTTGGTCGAATCCAACTTCTCTGCAGAGATGGGCGGAGCCCAATAAAGACAGTCGCGCTAGGTGGGGAGACCCTGGGGGTTTTGTCGTGTAGGGATAGGCTTTAGAGTTGTACCATATTCAGCCCTTACAGCACGGTTCTACTCTGCATTGACTGAATCGAAACTCTACATCAGAATGAATGGACTTAGTAACACCAATTCATGCAGGTGAGGCCCATCAGTTCTGACCTGCTCATGGCACTTTGAGGGTTTTGGGTGTTTGGGCCAAATTATTCACGCACAATAGACCGCAGAATGCAGTTTGGGGTTTGGGGTTTAGGGCTTCGGTGAATAAACAAGGGCCTATATATACGATGGCGTTAGAGGACTTCCCAAAGAGGAGCTTGTGAGCATGAGCATGTTGACATGCTTTTTGCTTACAGGTGCAAACGGACCCTGAATAGCTGGAGTCGGGACCCCTTATGATTTAGAACACACCCCCAAACTCCTCCTAAACCCGCAATCCCGAAAGAATTGATCCCACAACTCTATACCCTAAACCCCTAAACCCTAAACACCCAAACCATAAACCCGAAACCCCACAAGACCTGGAGTGCGGAGGCTTTGCAGAGATCCTTCCCCAAAGCCTAAGCCCCAAAGCCCTTCACTAGGGTAAACCCCAAATCCTAAACCCTGAAGCCTTCCGATGCTAAATCGTGAGCCCGCAACCCCAAACCTAAATGCTCAACCCTATAAACTCTAAATCTTAAACCTCTAATGCTAAAAGCTTTAACCGAGTAGTAGAGTAGGTAACCTTTAACCTTTCTTGGGCAGTATAGTCCCTATATAATCCCTATATAAGCAAGAATGTTAACCTTTAGTTCCCCATGTTACCCGACAAGTAGGTTAAAAAGCCCCAGAGCCGGATTTCTACGAAACCGCTGAACACTGAGCCCTGCATCGCAACCCCTGCACTCTGCATGCTAAAAGATTATTAAGGCCCCATATTATAGTACCCTTATAGGTCCCTTATTAGGACCCCGTCAAAGGGAGCCCTATTCCAATTATTACGGCCCCCTTAGTATACCGAAACCGATAGCTGCAGGGCACGGAGTCCATCGATTCACTCTTGACCCGTCCTTGGGCGAGTTCGTGCACATTCAGGTGCCTTTCAGTATGCTGTGGAATTTGGCCTCTGGATTTTGGTGTTGGGGTGTGAGGGTTTGGGTTTTAGGTCGCGGGCTTGCGCTCCATTTTGGGGTTTCGCGTGTAAAGGTGTTGAGGCTTGGGTTTTAGGGCTTATAGGGCCATACCAAAACATAGGATCCATAAGGCTGCTTGACGAATTGGACTGTGGCCAGGGTGAGCTTGGACTACGTAGATGTTCGGTAACCCACGAAAGGCCATCGTACACGGATGCGCAGAAATCATAGACCTGTTTGGGTTGTGGAACATATAGCAATTTCAATTGCGAAGACACTCAACACCCCACACCCTGAATAACAAAGATAGACCCAAGCCCCAAATCACGCAGCCCGAATCCCGAAGTAAACCCTGCACGCTTTCATTTTCATAATTTTCCACATCCTTTAACAGTTTCAAGATTTGAAGCCTTGAAGAAACCCGCTAGTTTATAAACCCCAAGCCCTACACCTAATCCCCAAACCCTCAGCCCTAAACCCCGAACCCTACACTCCCAACCCCCCTGAAGGAAACCTAAACTCAAAGTGGAAAAGGAGGGACCCTCAATGGGGACCCCTACCCTATAATGGGCTATATAATCGGTATATAATGGCTATTTTAAGGGTATACACCTATTAAGGGTCCCTCCTCTTACCCTTGAATAACCCGTACAACGCTGCAGGCCCACATCAAGATGCCCGAGGGCGGTGGCAAGAAGATCTACAGTTGCAACGAGGGCTGCTCGCATGGAATTCATCACCCAAAGGGTCCTATGTACCGATATAGTAGAATATAGGGTTTCCAATTACTATTATGACTTAGGGAAGTATCCCCCATAACAGTACACAGGACGCTTTGGGTCATGGAATTCAAATCCAAGGCTCTACTCTGCCCGTGGATCCGAAAATCATTATTTTTAGGGCTAGACACTCATAAACAACGGCAGAAACCTGGTTTAGGTCTCAATAGATACCTTAAAGGAGCCTTTAGGTGTCTTACAGGAACCCTTGCGGGAACCCATGCAAGGAATTTGAGGCCAGGGATTTGTAGTGTCTATGCTTGATCAAGGTTTTCTGATTGGTGAGTAGTAGGGCTCTAGGCTTCAGGCGGTTCTTCGCTTTAGGCAACAGCCGGAACTGGGATGCCGCCATCAAGTCTATCGTGGCGAAATGGAAGGACCCCTGGCTGTTGAGCTTTGGATTTGCATATTTGGTTTGAATTGTGTACATACTTGGGCCCATAATGTACAATAGTCCTAAGTTTTGAATGCCAGGAAATCTTAAGATTCGGTTAGGGCTGAGGGCTCTCATCATGTATTACAGGTTCTTGAAGGTGAATTGGCAGATTAGGGTTTCATAATTGTCAAACGAGAGCTGTCTAATCATCTTGAGCATGTTCGAGGGGCCCAGGTTGTTTCAGCGTTTGGTTCTACGGTCGACTTATTTGAGTTAAGACGCTGTTTGGTGTTTTCTGAATTCAGCGTTTAGGTTTCGCGGTAAAGCGAATTGGCTTTCATCTTGCAGATTCTTGGTTCCCTAAAACCGAAACCCTGAACCCTAAACCCTAAACCCTCAATGGGCTTTCATCTTGCAGACTCTTGGTTCCAGATTTTGAATGATTTGGCTCCGAGGCCTGCGCCTGAGGCCCGTGACCCCACAACCCACGACCTAAACCCAAAGCCGTAACAAACCTTCCCTTAAGGGTCCATGCGCCCAAATAGTGCGGGTGTGTGTATATATATATATATATATATATATGTTTTTCTTTTTCATTTATTTATATATATATATATATATATATACATATACGTACATATATACATACACTTAATGTGGCGGTCGGTTTAATAGTGGGGTACCCCCCCCCCCCCCCGACCAAAAAGTTGCGGTCGGTTTAGTGCGGAACCGGTAGCCCCGGACAGGGGTCAGGGGTCTGAGTGGCAGGGAATTGGGAGGTGCCGGGGTTTGGGGGCTGGCTTGGGTGCAGGGTCTGCGGTTCTGCGCGACTGCGCGGTCGGGGGTCGGGGGGGTCTGGGCCAGCGCCTGAAACCCTAAACCCTGAACCCTAAACCCTAAGGAATCCTAAACTCCTAAACCCTATAACAAACCCTAAACCCTAAGCCCTAAACCCTTCCAAAGGGGGGTCGGTCCAGATTCGACCCAAAACTTAATTTTTTATACAAACTTTAGTACTGGAGAGGCCTCTTTTGAGCTAGGGTCCAATCCCCGATTCGGCGGTTCACCCTAGCAGCCCCCCCCAATAATCAAGGTATAGTATAGTAGTACAGTAGTAGTACAGTAGTAGTATAATAATAGTGCAGTAGTACAATAGTAATACAACAGTAGTACAGTGGTAGTACAATAGTAGTACAGTAGTAGTACAACAATAACAATAGTACAGTAGTACAATAGTAGCACAATAGTAGTACAGTAGTAGTACAGTAGTAGTACGAATATAGTACCGTAGTACAATAATAGTACAGTAGTAGTACAGTAGTAGTACAATAATAGTGCAGTAGTACAATAGTACTACAACAGTAGTACAGTGGTAGTACAATAGTAGTACAGTAGTAGTACGATAATAGTACAGTAGTAGTACAATAGTAGTACAGTAGTAGTACAGTAGTAGTACAATAGTAGTACAGTAGTACACTAGTAGTACAGTAGTAGTACCACAGTAGTACAGTAGTACAGTAGTAATACAGTAATAGTACAGAAATAGTACCAATAAGCAAAGCATAAAGCCAGTGAGCACATTCCCCCAATAAGCAAAGCATAAAGCCAGCGCCTGAAACCCTAAACCCTGAACCCTAAACCTTAACAAACCCTAAACCCTAACGAATCCTAAACTCCTAAACCCTATAACAAACCCTAAACCCTAAGCCCTAAACCCTTCCAAAGGGGGGTCGGTCCAGATTCGACCCAAAACTTAATTTTTTATACAAACTTTAGTACTGGAGAGGCCTCTTTTGAGCTAGGGTCCAATCCCCGATTCGGCGGTTCACCCTAGCAGCCCCCCCAATAATCAAGGTATAGTAGAATAGTAGTACAGTAGTAGTACAGATTTTCATTCCTGACGCCCCAATATGCGAAACAATTCTGCAAGAGATTTTCGGGCTTCAGGGCCAGGGTTTTAGGGTTGGGTGGGGGTTTGGGTGGGGGTTCAGGTCGTGGCTGCCTTAAGATTGACCATCAGCAAACAGCACAGCCCCGCCACCAAAAAAGTCCCCCCAGCCAAAAAAGAACGCATTAATTAGACCGCCCAAATTTTTGGTACCGGTCGGAATTAGCCCCCGAGCCGACGCATTAAAGGAGCCCATATTCCTAAACCGACCGGCACATTACTTTGGGCCCAATGTACCTATACAGGGACTACGTTATGGCCAATGTATATGCTATTTGGGTACGTGAACCCTCAGGGTTCAGCCTGGACCACCGCTGCGAGTAGCTCTAGCATGTCCAGCGATACTCGGAGCTCGGAGCATATGGCTTATAATTAGAATAGGGTTTTGGGTCGAGTCGGACATGCGTCTGAGGCGAACGAATCTTAAGATGACTGGTGCATCCATCAAGAGCGCAGCTGCTGAATAGGGTTTTGGGGCCCACTGTGCAATAACTATGATAAGGAACCCCTGAAGTAGTATGGTTAAGAGTAGGGTTTTGGGGCCCACTATACAATAACTATGATAAGGAACCACTGAAATAGTATGGTTAAGAATAGGGTTTTGGGGCCCACTATACTATAACTATGATAAGGAACCCCTGAAATAGTATCGTTATCAAGAAGTCCAGTTGTTAAGAAGGAGTGCTTTCATAGGTCTCTTGTGAAGAAATCCCAGCTTTGGAAGAACAAACATAACTCAAGGAGTCAGTCACAACGAGGGGGGAGCAGCTTCTTCTTCTAGGTATCATAGCCCTACTGGCCCGAACTTATGAACCTCGACTGGGGATTTCCGTAAGTTTCAGAGACGATGCGGAGGGTTAAACCTGGCACAGCGCTTGAGCATGGAAATTGGCAGGACAGCGACAAGCCCTACGCGGCCCGTTATGTTGGCTCTATGGTTTCCGTCGCTCGCTGGTACAAGTGCCGTACAAGGGCACTGATAATTTGGAACAGGGGCATTGCGGCACGTGTACATTGTAAATTTTTGATAGTTTGCCCTATATCATGCAGGCGGGAACTACAACGGGAGACGAGAAATGTGCTAATCATGTCGGCTTTTGCATCACGGACTAGGGTTTCAAGGGTTACGAGTTGGGTTTGGCTGTGGGGTTTGGTGTCAAGGGTTGAGCTTCCTGGCGAAGGTCGATGACGGTATGATGGCAACAGTTGAGGATGGCTCGTGAGGGTGGCAGGAAGACGATTTGAGAGAACGGTTTGGCTTTGATGTACCTTCGTTGCTCTGCTAGGCATGCGATCAGTAATGATGATGCTGCTGATGATGATTCTGACGATTTGTACATGATGATGGTGCTGATGATGATGACGATGATGACGACGATGATGAGATGTGTCTTCCCATGCTTCGTCAAAGCCTTCATGCCTAGTCGCCCTCGTCTGGCGATCAATGCATATGCTTGATCGAACAGGTCTTCATTGCATTGAGCATCTTCTCTTGGCACTTTCGCCATCACCAACTATGTGTGCTCACATAATCTCCATGATCGCAGAATATGTAACACAAGTCGGTCCATTATTACCGGTCGCATGACGGCAGACATGGTTGTCAGCCTGGCTCACATTGTAAGTTTTACGACTGTGAGTCGGATCACTAGTTGCTTTTGTTCGCGGTACTGCTGAAGTTGCTGCTGCTACTGTTGTCGTTGCTATTGTGGTTGCTGTAGTTGCGGCTGATTATGTTTTTGTTGTTCTTTTTTTAGTCAACAGTTAACTCATTGAACGGAGTCTTGTGCTAGCATTTGGAGTGTATGACGTTTGCTTCGGGGATCGCAGTGGTTCCGACCCCTCGGGGATTTCCGGTTTGAAGAACAGGTATCTTAATTAATATGGTAGAACACTAAATGATATAGGCACCATAGAGCGTCCTGTATGTTTCCTGGTTGGGTTTAGGGATCAGGCTCAGATTTTTGACACAAACAGCCTACCGAATTCGGAACCCCAAGCACGGAGCTCTGACTCCACACCGTAAACTTCCAGGCACAGAACCTTAGTTCCAGAGAGTCATCAGATCCGAATCCTAAATCCTAAACCCCTGATCCCACTAAAGCTAGATTTCTTCCAACGGCAACGCTATGTTAGTGTTATGATTATCACGATGATGACTATTAGTATATATCACTCTATTCCCAAGAGAGTGTATACAAAAAGAACCTTTTTACCGAGAGCCACAGGATGTTCACCGTACGATCCTCTACGGCGGCATCTACCTCTACCCAGCAGATGCGAAGTCGGCTCAGGGAAAGCTCCGGGTACTCTATGAGGCGCTTAAGAAGCATTAATAGGGTTTTGGGGGTTCCTTTAAAGGGTGCTATAAGGGTTCCTCGAAGGCATCTATAGGGTTCAGGGTTTCAGGGTTTGGAGTTCAGGGCTCTGGAATTTTAGGGTTTATGGGGTTTAGGGCCTAGTATACTGAGTGGGAGATGTGCCTGCCCTCAGTCATCTTGCTTAGCGATAGGATTCTATTTGGGTTACACCTTACTGATGTTCCTGCTGCGCCTCTTACGAAGCCAAACAGGAAAGCATCTAAGTACCCACATGGTACGGTTAAGGTCAGAGACACCACACTCCGAGTGGCTTTCGATGCCGCCCTGAACCCTTATGAGATTCGAGAGCTTGTTGCTTTCGCCCGTCTACTCTGGACTTAGACCAAGAAGGCTCACATAGGAACCCTTATATACTATAAGCCCAAACTAAATACCACAGCGTCACCCCAAGCCGATCTACAGTAAACCCTAAGCCCTAAACCACACATAGATTCCTGGTCCTAGATACCCTAAATGCATATCCGTAGGATAGCGGAATAGAGCGCTTGAGCTCCCTTACCTAGAGGCTCATGCCTTACACCATTTTAGGCTACCTGGTTTAATGGCTAGGATCTGTAGGACAGTATAGAAAAGTAGATACCCAAAAAAAGATGTAGGGTATGAGCCTACAATCTCGGAGCAGGGTTTTCGCCTTTTAGCGTTCGGGCTTTCAACTTCGAGTTTAGGGCTAGGAGTTTATGGCTAGCCCAAGGGTCCAAAGGACCCAATAATCAGGTACTTGGGTTTAGGATAGTAGTTACGTAGGTTAGTATATGATTATTGGGTACTTCGGTTGATGATATAAATCCTGCATTACCCATAATAAGGGTATACCACAATTCCCATAGTTTAGGGACCTTGAGGTAATGCAGGATTTATATCATCAACCGTTGCACCCTTAGGGTTATCCGATCCAACAGTCCTGCGGTGAACCCCAAGCAGCCTCAGGTCCAGATTTCGTAATACACATATTACACGTTCCTGGTGTTGGGCAGTGCTTGCTGGGTTTAAAGTGTGTGTTCCGGTGGGGACGACAGATAGACATAAATAGAACTCGTTAACTACAAAAATCAGCTATTCATAAAACGCAGGCCCGAGGACAGTCCTTTCTGAAACGCGATACGGGGCCTCCACTTAACCCAAAAGCTAGAGCCCCTGTGGTAGACGCTCACTAAACATTCTAAACCCGAAACCCTGAAGCCCCAAGCCTTAACGTCAAAACCTAATTAGAACCTGGATCCCAACGGCCCAACATACGTGAATGGGAGGCTTAATGTAAGGGTCCATGTATCCAAAAAGGATATATACTTTGGGCCCAGTGTACTTATATAGGACTACATTAAGGACAATGTATAAACTATTGGGGTACAGGGACCCTTAGGGTTACATCGCTAAGCAAGTTTACGAGAAGAGTACTTATCAAGTATCCTGAGGTTAAAGCAGGGGATATCCTACATGTAAGCCCAGGTATTGCCTGTACTTAGTGCGAGCTGCTTGCAATTGCACCCTAAGGGTCCATGTACCCAAGTACTGTAGTAGAGACTTTGGCCCCAAAGTACCTATACAGGGGTTGCTTTAAGGCCAAAGTACATACTGTTTGGGTACATGGACCCTTGGGGCACTTACGCCAGGGATTTCCCATGGCCTTCATCATGGAGCAAGCAGGAGGAGCTGCCTCGTGCGGACTTTTCAAAGGCGCCGGGGTCTTCAACCCCCAACGTATACGATTTGGGGCCCAGGGCGAAAAGCCTTGTAAGCCCTAAACCCTACTTAAATGGTCGTGGAGCTTAGTTAACTAGGGCTATAATTAGGGTAACTACACTTATAACCACTTATAACCCCAATTAGGGTACTTATAACCTTACTTAGGAAGTCTCATGATCCTCCAAGTAAGTAATTGCTGAGGCTATTGTATGCCAAGAAGAGGCTCCACGCCACGCTAGGCCCACCTAAGCTTGGGACTCCTAAACTAGGATGCCCAGTAGTACCCTTATTCCCTTTTTGTAGTCCTAGGTTCCTTATAAAGTTACCCAATACCAAAAAGAGAGGCCTTTTTGTTCTTAGGTTACTGGGTATCCTAGTAAACAATCCTCGCAGTTGGGCCGGGGGGGGGGGGGGGGTTGTTGTTGGGGGGGGGGGGGTCTGTTAAAACATAATAATTGGCGTGGTGCAACAGTGTAAAGCTTGATGACACATGTTAAAACATGTTATGTCATGGTAGAACATACTGCAAAATAGCATAAAACACCATATAATACACAGTAATGCAGAATTGTTATGGTATGTTACACGACAAACAAGACCATAAGAGTAAAACAGTTGCAGGTGTAATACAACACAGCACAATACACTAGAATGTGGTATTATACAGCGCAATATACAGTATTTCTTGTATAGTGTAGTTTCATATAGTATGGTTCAGTACACTATGCCATAATCTAGCAAACCATGATGCAACATTGCAAAAACATGATGGCACGGTGCAGTGTGAAACCGTATGGCATCAATGATATACCAAATTGTAGCATGTCACTTGGTGCTATCTTAGCTTGTCTTATCTGATCTTATCTGATCTCACATTTCATGTTGCCATATTGCATGTACATAGTTTCCAGTTAGTATTCCAACATGTTATAATGCATTACAGTATAGTCTACTACAACTTAATACAACAAACTATCCTATGTAATGTGCGGTGACCTCCGTCATCCAGACTAAGCCTAGTTCCGACAGCACAGCATCGTCATACAGTTGACAATCCTGAAAATACAAAGTCATTACAGTAGAAGCCAGAAAGTTGGAATATCATTATCCTAACCCCTTTAAGGTAAATTATAGGGGATCCTACCATTAATCCATATTCCAACTTTCTGGAGTTCCCCTTAAGTTTTGTAGCAGAGCCATTCCACGCACCCAGCCCCTGGCATTGACAAAGTCAGCAATGAAGTTGTTTGACCCATACCTGGGTTCTTTCTACGACGCTGCACTTCAGTCACCAAATCTGGCATATGTAGCAAACAAGATGCTCTTCTGGTTGTGGCACCTTAAGTTGAACTCCTCGGTAAGAACCCAGATATCTGCAACGACAGGCAAGCTTCAGAGACTTCTGGACATCGTGCCCAAGTCTATCCACGAGAAGTGGGACACAGCTGTCGATGGGGGACTACTGTAGGAACCTGATTAAGAAACCCTGGGCCTACAACCCCCCAAAGAGTAGGGTTCACATTTAATATAAAGGACCCTGATAAAGACCCGAGGTTTCTTAATCAGGTTCCTACATGGGTAGTTGTCAAAATTATGGCCCCTTTTTGGGCACCCTAAATAATAGGTGCCGTATTATAAGAGGGACCCAAAAAGGGACCATAATTCATTCCGTTTCAGGGTCTCGGCATCCCAATCAAGCCTAAACCCTAAACCCGGAACCCTGAACCCCAAACCCGGAACCCTAAACCCTGAACCCTAAACCCTAAACCCTGAACCCTGGACCCTAAACCCTAAACCCTAAACCCTCAAGCCATCGACCCCAAATCCCAAAGCCTGAAACCCGCCAGCCCCACATTCCAAACCCAAAGCCCTATATGGGTGGTTATCAAAATGATGGTCCCTGTTTGGGGTTCTTATTATAGTACGGCACCTAACATCTAGGCTTCCCAAAAAGGGACCATAATTTTCACAACCACCCATAGAACCCTAAAGCCTTACATCCCAAACTCGAGAACCCGTGAAGCCTCAAACCCTCAACCCTGAACCCTCGAGCCCTCAACCCTGAACCCTCAAACCCTGAACCCTCAAACCCTCAACCCTGAACCCTAAATCACCAAAACCTTTACCCCTGAACCCCTAACCTTAGGCTGGAGCCTGTGCGTGTTTACTTCTCAGCGATACCGGTTTAGCCTCAGGGTTTACCCTGAGGCTCCAAACAGGGCCTTGGGCCTTCTGGGGGAGGGTTTCGGCTTTGGGGGCTGGGGTTTGGGACCTTCCTCCAAGGGTCCAGGAGCCTTTGGGAAGGGTGTAGATTATTCATGTATGCTTTACGAAGCCCGAAGGTGAGCCTGTGCAGCCCAAGGTTGCCAGACAGGTAAGAATGCATGCCCGGTATCCTCCACCCTGTGCCTTCAGCCTACCCAACACACACTGTGCATACTGCTTCGAGCTTCAGGGGAAATCGTCAGCGGGATCTCTTTAGGGATATAAGTACCCTAAGAATAAGGGTGTACAGTTTCGGGATTTTCAGAGCTACCGGTGAACTACTGGTGAACTACCGGTGAACTACTGGTGAGATACCGGTGAACTACTGGTGAAATACCAGCACACGTGCGCCGTGTTGCAGTTGCTTCGTTTTCAGTGTTGCTTTGCCGTGCTGGAGTTGCTTCGTTTGGTTTGGGTGTTATTACTTCGTTTCCGTGTTCTTGCTTCGTTGCAGTTGCTTCGTTTCGGTCGCAGTTGCTTCGATCTCCGTTGCAGTTTTTGGTCGTGAACGGGAGTTCTGATGCTTACTTTGCCCCAGGATGCTTTAGTAGTGGTCCTTCAATGCATTGCCCATACTGTACTTCCGCAGGTGCCCAGTGGTTATCGGATGCAACCGAGATGTCGAGGTCGGACCATGGAACTCATCGCCGCATCTTTGACATCGTTCGTGTCATACGCAGTTGCTAATGCCTTGCTGCAGTCTTGCCCTCGTAGTCGTACCCCTGAAATTACAACTTCTTGCAAGCTTGGATCCCCAACAGAGGATCACTAAGTATTGGTCACATTGGCCAAGCCGAATGATCCTCAAATTTCTCTAAGCATTCTAAAAGGCCTGTCATCACAGACACAAGGAAAGACACACGCAGCAAACCATACCTGTCAAGCGCTGAACCCAAAGTAACAAACCCTCAAAATCTAGGCTTGGCTACGACTCCTGCTGCTCCCAATACGGCGGCAAGTCACCATCTGCACTTCAACCCGTAAACATGAACAATCAACCCTGAACTAAGCCTTCACCCCGTAGACAGTCGAGAGTTTCAAGTAGAGGTGGGGAACCTAAACCTGAGCAAGATTTGAGGGTGTTTAGGGCTTAGGGCACATTGCATGAAGGCTTGCATACCTTGACAACGATGTGCGATCTTTAGCATGTACATTGCCACTGGCAGCTTATGATTCGTTTCATCCATGTCATTGCCAGTCCGAGCGATGCTTGCTGCCTCAATGGCCTCTACCATTATTGATATTGCCACTGCTGTGTAGCAGTAGGGCTGATTCCTACGTTCTTGCGGACGACAGGTCTTGAGAACTACCTGGACCCCAAAAGTATGTAGAGTAATAGCCTTTTAGAGGTTTTGGGCCATTATTTTACCTACTTTGGGGGGTCTAGGTACACGCTCAAGAACCCTCGGTCAGGAAAGTGTCACAGCTCGTCTCAAGAAGCACAGACTGACCACGTGGATGATCAGTCGTCTGCTGAACCTGCTTTCCCATTTGGGTGGTTGTCAAAATTATGGTCCCTTTTTGGGTACCCTAAATAAAAGGTGCCGTATAAGAACAGGGACCCAACATAATTTTGACAGCCACCCATTTAGTACCTTGACCCTGTAGTTTACCCTAAAATCGCAAATCTAACATGGTCTTAAACTGCGGCCTCTTCCTTGAATGCATCAGCGCGGACTGGGAGGAAAAGGGGTTCCAAAATGTAGCTGTCGTGGCCTTGTAGTGCACCCAGAACCCTAAACCCGAACCCCCTTAACCCTAAAACTCTAATCCCGCCTACACCCTAAAACCCTAAACCCTTAAACCCCTAATCCCGCCTACACCCTAAGACCCTGAACCTTTAAACTCTCAAACCCCTAAACCCCTACACCCTAAAACCCTGAGCCGTTAAACCCTTTAATCCCTTTAAACCCTCTTCCTCTACACCCTAAAACCTTGAAGCTTTAAACCCTCAACTCCCTAAGCCCCTAAACCAAAAAACCTTTTAAACGGTAAAAACCCAAAGCCCAGTCCTGGGGAGGCTGTGCTCAACGAATACAAAGCTTTGGGACTCGCTTAAAGGCTGCGATGCTGGCGCCTTGGTTGCCTGAAGTTGGTTTAGGGTTTTCGGTTTCCTTTATCAAAGGGTCTTTCAAGGGATTTAGGGGGTTTAGAAGTTTAGGGCTTACCCAAATTGTCCAAGTAAAAATGCACGATACTATGTAGATCTTTGGGCCCCGCAAGTATAGACTGTACTGTTACTTGGACCCTTTGGGGAAGGGGATCTGGGCTCTTTACAAGTAAAGGGAACTCCAGAAAGTTGGAATATGGTTTCAGGGTAGGATACCTTATAATTTACCATAGAAGGGTTAGGATAATCATATTCCAACTTTCTGGCTTCTACCTTATGCTTGTATCCAGGGCAACAACCACCCCAAGTCGCGGCAGCTCTAAACCCGAAAGGTAAACTGTAAACGGTAAAACCCAAGCTCTAAGCATTAATCATCGTACTCACTCATGCCATACATCGGTGTGGAGTTCGGGATTTGGGTTTTAGGCTTTAGGCTTGGTTGGGTTTAAACACTATTCAAGGCACCCCGAACTTCAATAATCCCAGCTGTAGCACCCAAATAATGGTCAATGGTTGCAACCCTGAACCCTTAGCCGAACACTTGAACCCATACAGCCGGACTGGGAGACTAAACATGTCTTGTTTTCATGCTGGTTCTTGGTAGGGAACGGGGGAATGGAGTATGGAGACTATTTGTTGTGGAATATAGGGACTGCTATAGGACCAGACAGTCCTGTTTTCATGTTTGTTCCATGTTTCACTAGATGTCTCGTGGAGGGGTGAGGTGTAATGTTTCTGAGGCAGTTCCTGGAAGGGCTCATGTACCTTTACAGCACATACGTACGCCGTAACGGGTTCCTCTATATGGCTACTTTCAGGTCCGAGTTTATACGAGATGAGTGCAGCTACCCGACTAAAGTCAACCATTATGGCACCCTTCCTAGGATCCCAGTAGTACCCTTATTCCCTTTTTGTAGTCCTAGGTTCCTTTTAAAGTTACCCAATACCAAAAGAGAGGCCTTTTTATTCTTAGGTTACTTGGTATCCTAGGTTATGGTACCCTTCTAGAGCCCTTAAATGAACCCCCAGAGATCCCTGGAAGGAAGCTCTAGAGATCCCTTAAAGGGCCCCTCAGCAGGACACTTTCTATGGCACCCTTCGTGTTTTTGACTTCTGGGCTTGGCTTTCAAAGGCTCAGGCTCTTAATATAAGGGCCTTAAGCATCAGAATAGGGAAAGGGGTCTAGAAGGGCTACTATACGGGATCTATAAGGCTACTATAACGTAGGGGCCTTAAAAAAATTCAGTAGGGCTTAGCCTATTCTAAGTATGAAGGCCCCGAGATTGGCCATGTGGGGCTGAGGCTCTCTAGGGCCTTAAGGGCTTTAGGGCCTTAAGGGCTTTGGGTTCTTAAGGGCTTTGGGTTCTTAAGGGCTTCAGGGCCTTAAGGGCTGTGGGTTCTTAAGGGCTTTAGGGCCTTAAGGGCTTTGGGTTCTTAAGGGCTTTGGGTTCTTAAGGGCTTTGGGTTCTTAAGGGCTTTGGGTTCTTAAGGGCTTTAGGGCCTTAAGGGCTTTGGGTTCTTAAGGGCTTTGGGTTCTTAAGGGCTTTAGGGCCTTAAGGGCTTTGGGTTCTTAAGGGCTTTAGGGCCTTAAGGGCTTTGGGTTCTTAAGGGCTTTGGGTTCTTAAGGGCTTTGGGTTCTTAAGGGCTTTGGGTTCTTAAGGGCTTTAGGGCCTTAAGGGCTTTGGGTTCTTAAGGGCTTTGGGTTCTTAAGGGCTTTAGGGCCTTAAGGGCTTTGGGTTCTTAAGGGCTTTGGGTTCTTAAGGGCTTTGGGTTCTTAAGGGCTTTAGGGCCGTAAGGGCTTTGGTTTTTAAGGGCTTTAGGGCCTTAAGGGCTTTGGGTTCTTAAGGGCTTTGGGTTCTTAAGGGCTTTGGGTTCTTAAGGGCTTTAGGGCCTTAGGGGCTTTAGGGCCTTAAGGGCTTTGGGTTCTTAAGGGCTTTGGGTTCTTAAGGGCTTTGGGTTCTTCAGGGCTTTGGGTTCTTAAGGGCTTTAGGGCCTTAAGGGCTTTGGGTTCTTAAGGGCTTTGGGTTCTTAAGGGCTTTAAGGGCCTTAAGGGCTTTGGGTTCTTAAGGGCTTTGGGTTCTTAAGGGCTTTGGGTTCTTAAGGGCTTTGGGTTCTTAAGGGCATTGGGTTCTTGAGGGCTTTGGGTTTGCCGTTAAGGGTTTAGGGCCGAGGACCCTGGACCAGTAAGTTTTCAGGATGCTTTCTTCTGTCTTACCTAGACCCCCAAAAGTAGGTAAAACCATGGCCCAAAGCCCATAAGGCCATTATTCTACATACTTTTGGGGTTCAGTTATAGTATCATGAGTAAGGAAGCCTGTGGAACAGTATGGATGGTTACTCAGGCCGCTACTTTAGCAAAGCCATTTCTGGGCCTCAGCAGGTAGGTATCAGCCGTCCGAGCTTTGAGCTCTTTCGGCATATGTAGGGGTTTGGAGCTTGTGGGCTTTAGGTTGGGAGCTTGGGGTTCTCAACCTTCCCCTAAGGGTCCATGTACCCAAATAGGGGTTCCTTTAAGGGTTACTATAAGGGTTCTATAAGGGCTCTATAGGGTTTAGGGTTTAAGGGTCCATGTAGCCAAATAGTATACGCATTGGCCTTAATGTAGTCCCTGTCTAGGTACACTGGGCCCAAAGTATATGGACCCTTAGGGTTCGGGTTCTCAACCCAAAGCTAAGCTTAGCTTAGTAGCTGAGCAGGTAACCTTTGACCTCAGGGGGTTTATAAAATCCCGCCATAGTTGAAAAGACTGTTTTGGGGGCAAGGATACTCAGCCTCTAAGATAAATCCCAATCTGACGGAACTGTACATGTCCTGGGTCCTTCACCCGAGTGGCCCTATCCCTTAAATACCATACCCTGTTTACCCTGCACCCTTTAGGGGACAAGCTAGACTTGAAATTGAGAGGCAGCTTGCCCCAAACCTCTACGGTTGACAACTTGGGCTTGTGTTTAACCATCTCGCAGAAATGTTGGGTTCTCGTGCTGAGTTCGGCGGTCAAAGCTTGTCGGGCCGAAGATCGTTGAGTCTCAGATTTTGCAAAGTCGTGTCTAGAGTGCTCTGAATTTGGTTCCCGCTTGCGGTGCTTGTCGTTAGACTGGTGTACTATCGGCCGTGGAGGTTCCCTGACACCCCGAGCCATACAGCCTAAGCAGGTCTTAATTAGCTACTCAGGGCTTGGACTGGGGAAAAATATACTATAACAGTGAAAGGAAGCCGGAGGAGCATTTTCTGGCTTGTAGATCAGGCTCTTTGGTAGATTCGATGGCAGGAGAACCTCAGGCTTGCATGGATGTAAAGTCTTGATGTTGAGGATTAGACTTCGATTTTGGGTGCAGGGTTGAGGGATGAAATTAGCTTGTAGTCAAATGTTTACGGTGCTTGTTAACTTCTACATGAAATATCGTGGAATGTAACCTTCAGGGTCCATGTACCTATACTGTAGGGGTTAAGATCCTTCCTTTGACCCCCAGCCCATATAGCCATCAGAGGGGTGTTTAGGGTGTAGGTGGAAGGTTCAGGGTTGCAGGCGGTGCGCAAGTTCATTTTATGTGGTTATGCCGTAACATAAGTACCCAAAAACATTATTCAAATCATGAACGGTCTTTTCAATGAGTTTCCGAAAATAGGGGACCATAACATATGGTACCCTAAATAGTAGGATCCTTATTTTAAGGACCCCAAACTCCTAATTTGCGGAAACCCCCATATCTGAGGATGGCCCAGATGGACAGGAGCAGCAGTTTCTACCCCAAGCATTTCTGATAGGGAATTGCTTGTGATTCAAGTTTTCTCGCTTTTTGTCCCATGCAACTACCAAGTGTCTCCCGGATTCTTGCGAGGTTTCTACAAGAACGAAGCAAGGGAGGGCATTGGAAGCCGGGCGACACTGTAGATTGCGGGGGATTAGAAGTTTGCGTGCAACTTTTCCACTTTTAAAAAAATCCACGCAGCTTGTGCAGATGTTTAGTTGCAACGGAGAAATTGGCTGCCAACAGCGGACAAAAAAGCTTTTTCGAGAAGCCCTGAAAAGGAACCCTCGAAGAAGCCTAGTAGTAAAGTAGGTAACCTTTAGCCTTTTTTGGGTAGTATAGTCCCTAAATAGTCCCTATATAACCAAAAAAGCTTAACCTTTAGTTCGCCATGATACCCGACAAGTAGTAAAGTCTCTCTTGCATGGACATCTGGACCAGTTCCATGGGCCTAAGCTAAGCCTTCCGGCACGGAGAAGCCATTTGCACAAGGAGGTTAAACTCAAACTCTAAACACTACGTTCTACACCGTCAATCTAAAAAGCCTTGAGCCCAGGATCACAGACTTTGAAGACTCTGTATATCAAGGATCCTGCTATTGCTCGGGTATAGTCCTGAAGTGCGGGCTTTGGCAACTTTGGGCAGTCGATCTGGATCAAGGTTTGTTTCATCGTGAGGTAAGTGGCGGTTTTGGTGTTGGGGAGCTTATATCAGCCTGGTTGGCAGCTAAGTCATCAACAGTTCCGCCATCGTCGTCAGCAGCACCATTTTCGTTATCATATTCATCCTTCTTGGCATGTCTTTCAACAGCATTTCAACCAATACCGAAACGGAATCCTTTTTCCTAGGTTGCTGTGCATCCTAGTAACCTTTAAACACACTTCAGGTAAATCGTGTTTATGGTTATGCGGCTTGAGAGTATGTTTCGGACTTATAGACTTGAAAAGGATCTCGAGTTTGGGGGTTCAGGGTTCTTGGTTTGAGGCAGTTCGGGGCTCATGCGTATGGACGCGCATGTAGGTTGGTCTCAGTTTAGTGGTGGTTTGGGCATACATGCCTGGACTTTTTGTCACAGGTATTCTTTCGGGTCATTATGTCCTATGAACTCTAAATCAACATCAAACCCTAAACCGCCGCTGCTCGCTGCTATCGTTGTCAGCTCGAGCCGATTATCCTCGCCAGCCACCCCAGTGTCGCGTG